GATGTGGCCGATGAAGGGCCATCCCATATCACCAGGAGGCAGGGTGTTTTTCTTCTTCCCCAACCTAGTAACATAGTACCATTCATTTATATTTTTAAGAAACCAAACACAATAACATATGTTGCAGCCACAACTGCCAGGATTGAACTCAGCAATTCTAGCCCCATTTTATTTTTCCTCTCTCTTTTTGCCTCTCGATACACATTTTCGGGTTCGAACGTGCTTCCTTTTATAGACACAAATCGCTGTACGTATATTGTTCTCTAGAATAGTCAATGTTTTTATTTTATGTTTATGTAATTTTTTATATGCATTCTATTATGAGTAATTATCCGAAGCATTGGTGATGAGACATGGAATAATAATTTTTATATTATTTAAGTTATAGTTTAATTTTTAAAAGTATTTTTTATATTATAAACCCATTAAGTTGTCTTTGTGATTAAAAAAATATTGTTCTTTTGATTAAATGAAATATTGTTATTTTTTGATATTATAAATTCGAACTGTTGCGTCTGTTGTGAGTAATTATCCGAAGCGTTGGTGATGAGATTAAAAAAAAAATCATACCGACACCGGGATAATATTTTTGTATTATACAATTTATAGTTTATTTTTTTAATTTTTTTTATAAATTGAATCAATAATTAATAAAATTATTGAATTGGGATATTCGTTGTGAATATATATATATATATATATATATATATATATATATATATATATATTATAAGAATTCATTATTCTTTTCTTATCTTTTCTTTTCCTCTATGCATGTTTCCCGACTGGCCATTGTATGAATCCTGACCTAAATGTTGTTCTCATGTATTAAGTCACAAGTTTATAGACCGCGAGACTGATTTTGGGATTACTCTAAGGTAAGCATCCAGGCTGATTCTTTTAACATGCAGGTATAGTGTCGTGGGATTACTGCAACCAGCAATTCAACATTGACCGAGACCTGAAAAGTAGGAAATATAAATATTCTAAACTATTGGGTCTGCTGCTATTTCTTTAAAATTTGATTAGCAGACAATGGGTTCTGCTTTGCGTGGACCTGTAAGAACTGAAGACTTTGGGGTCGTCCTTACCTTAACGCTACCCTCCATTGAAACGCCGTCGTCAATCGTCTAACTGATAAATTTTACTTTTTTATTTTCCTATTGTATGAAATATCGTTGAAGTGATGGAGTGCACCTTGTTGATCCTATTTTCATAAGTGTTGGATTTGTAGGAATATTAAAAGACACTTCACACACCAATAATAACCGGTTGATCTAATAAGATGAGACACTAGATTTTTACGGATTGGGAGGATTACTCTCGTAATGGACCTTTGTAAAATCTGATCTGAATTAATCGGTCAATAAATCAGATATCAATGATTAATTAAAAAAATTCACTGGTTTACACTACGTTAATTAGGTTGACTTTATATATAAATATATATACACACACTAACCATACTTCCTTAGCCATCATTCCACATGTATTCAAGATGTTTTATTGACTGAAGCTTCAAAGTCAAATATGAATTGTAAGGTGAAGAATATATTTGTGTGTATTAATCAAACCGCTTGACTCGCATTTAATTTTCCGTTCATTGGTTTGTTGATCGTTGTGCATTTTTTTTCTCTCTTCATTCTAATGAACTTCACTCAATTAAAAGAAACGATTTTTTTATAGCAGGTGACTTAAGAGTTTCGGTTGAAAAATGATAGTTTTAATTTAATTGAGATCACCTACCCCTTCAATAAAACAAGTTTGAACTATTCTCCTGGCTTTTTAGGGAAATAATGTCCCCACTTAAAAATATTAGAGAAATACAAGACATCATTTTTATTAGATCTATGGTACTTTGGTAAATTTTTTACGATAATGGTAAAAAAAGTGCTTGAATAATGGTAAATCGGGATTATTTACTCGAATAATGGATTTAGTACAGGACTACGATGTGATGCAGGGACCTCACTGCGTCTTCGATTGAAGCGTGGAGGGACGTCAGGACTGTAATACGACTCCCCCTATTGTACTTCGTTTGTTTTTCTTTTTAATTTTATTATAATGTTTTTCATAATTAATCTTTATCTAATTTATGTTTCAAAGAATATTCTTCCCAGATTTAGGTGTAAGAATAATAAAATTAGACCGGTGTGTATGTAGGGGGAGATGTCTGTATGGAGGGAGAGATGTGTGTATGGAGGGAGAGACACAGGGCAGTCATGACGTCTCCTCACATTTCAATCAAAGACACATCGGGATCCTTGCGTCACACCTTGGTCCAGTAAATATATTACTCGAGCAAATAATTTTCATTCACCATTATTCGAGTAATTTATTTTCCAGACCATTATCATAAAAATTTTGCCATTATATCTATTACAATGATTTTAAAATTTGTCATGTTCTTTCAATATTTTTTTAAAAAAAATATTTTATTTGAACTTATCATATCAGTTACAACAAATTTCTAATTTTTTTTTATTTTTTATTCAATTTATTGGATGTTAAACTTTAGCATAATAATATTCTTCTTGGAATTCATTGGGAAACCATGGCGATTTCTAAGATATCAACATTTAAATGAATTAAATTATAATTTTATTATTATTATTATTATTATTATTATTATTATTATTATTATTCTTTTACAAGATTTCTTGATCAATTTGTGTCGCCTTCCAAAAGTCTCCTATTATTTTCACATTCAAAACAATCAAATTTAAGATTTTGATTACTCGTTAAATCTGCTAACTGTTTACTTTTTTGGGTCAATTTTTTTAATTTTGACTCATCATTATTTAAATTTTATTATTAGTAAAAATATGAAAAAAAATATATTTTAAATCTTTAACCAAGTAGTTTTTAAAATATATATTTTACAAAATTTAATTATTTAAAATATTTAAAATAATAATGGTCAAAATTTTAAAAAATTTAACTTTTTGATATTCAATGATAGACACATTGATTAAGACAAAGGGAGTATTTTTCAGTAACTCCTAAAAATATGTTTTTTAATCGTGAGATTCCTTGGAAATAATTTTCAATGAGTTTTAGTTGAAGAATGTTAAATATGAAGTCTCGTGTTGGACTGGCAGCCTCTTGATTCTCTTAAATTATTGCACTCTCCGGTGGTTGAATATTTTTTTTTATCTCAGACAATATTCCATAACAGATATATACATTTGTGTTCTTAGTTCAAATTTCATCAATCCAAGAAAGGACATTTGTTAACATTTTATTAATATATGATTAAAGTCTATAAATTTCCTGGGTAATTACTCATAAATAATTCATGGACGTGACTGAATAGTTGTAACATTTTATTACGTTGAGCCTGATATCATTTTAATGGTTTTTTTTCTTTCCAATAGATAATGTAGGTAAAAAAATTAATAAGTTAAATCATCTTTAAAATTAATTTGGGATCTACGGTAAATGTTATAGTACAGAACAAACTCGTCACCCCTATTTTATGAGTTTATCTAAATGATATTTTTTATTCAAACTCATCACGTCAAAATGGCGAGTTCTAATAAAATATAATTTTTATTAGATTTTTTCATGTTAGAGAGATAAGTTTTAATAAAAAAATATATATTTTATTGGAACTCGTCATGCTCACGTGACAAGTTTCAAGTAATTGTAGCAAATGTCATACTTTTCAAAATAAAAAAAATTGATATCGTATTGGTCTAAATAATTAATCCACCTACGGTATTGGGCCAATTTTGCCCATTTTAATTAGCCTTTCTTGATTGTATGTGGTCCATTTCTATCAGCATTTGGATCCTTTAAGCTTGTAAATATAACCCAAATAAGCTAGACCATGACTAGATTTCTTGATATTCTTTATCCTTCAAATAAGTTTGCAAGCCTTTAGTTTTTACCAACATGTTCAATTTGAACTTGAATTATTTTGACTTCATTATTGGGCTTGTGGAAAGGTAAGCCCATTACGTCCACGATCATAAATTTGGGCTTGGTGCTCACACCATTCCCCATCCTCAAAATGATTTAACTCCAAACATGGAATATGAAAGATTGATGCATATTAAACAAGAAAGAATCTTTATCGTAAGTGGAAAAATTTAACTAAGCACCTCTTAATGATTCTACAAAGTCCTCAAATAACCAACGGATTGGTTCAAGTGGTAAGTAGCTTGATACCGCTTAAGCAAGTGTTCAAAAGTTTAAAGACTAATTTAGAATGAGAGTCATAGTTTAGGGATGAAAATAAAATATTTAAAAGTTTAAGGACCAATTTAAAATGATGGTTATAATTTAGGTCATGTGATGTAATTAACTCTAATTTTCCCTTCAACTTTGAATTTATTTCAAACATGGAAATTTGTTAAGGCGGTATCCACCTCCTATAAATTAGGAACCTATAACTAGGGATGTCATATAGATATAATTTCGTGGATTTTGTATCGTACCTGTAATTAGGGTGGGGATGAGTATAAGTCTAGTAGGTAGTGGGCGATTGTAGATGTAAAAATTCATACCCGTCGTGGGTAGTAGCTAGGTGATGAGTTTGAGACTTTATCAACTCCACATCCACCTACCCCGCAATCGCCCTCCCACTAACTACTTACCATATAAATTTTGGAATATTATGATTTTAGGTATAATTTTAGAGATTATTCCGTGAATCTTAAGATTTTATAAGACATAACTTATAATTTAACCAAATGTTATGATATAAACATTTTTAGAATTGAATAACCTGATTTTTTCTATCTCAAATTGGTGGATATGTACGGGTATGGATGAGTGGTGGGTATTCAAATAGGTAATGAGTGTGTGGATGAATTTAAAAATATACCCACATAAACGGGTGTGAATTTAAAATTTATACCCATCGTGAGAAGTGGGTAGATGGTGAATACAAAAATTTTAAATAAGGAATGATGAAAGGTATCCGCACCTGCTTCTCCAGTTTACCATCCCTACATATTAAATTAGCTTACAGTAATAGAAAGTCTTCGGTCTGAATTCAACTGGTACATGGGTTGAACAAAAGGCTGAATATTTATATATTTTACAACACAGCAGGTTGGATATTTTCCTAACAAAAGGCTACTAGTGGAGCTGAGTTAAACAGAACTGGAGGAAAATAAGATAAACATGAAGATCGTTCGCATAGTGGTCGATCATTCGATCTTCACGACTTTCGCCAGACAGTTGTCCACAGGCCTTGGGAGAGGCAAATACACATTGGGTCCTGCTGGATTGATTTGTTCAAGCCTACAAATTAATCAAAGTAAACAAATGAGAAAAAAGAAAAGAAGAATCAAGCTTGGATTAATGAAAGCTGACTCACGTGTAGTCAAGTAAAAAATAATGAAGGAAAATGGAGATCTCAAGCTTGGCTAGATCAGCTCCGGGGCAAATCCTGCTTCCTGCTCCAAATGGAAGGAATGATCCTGGCCTGGGTTTGTGGTTCTGTATGCAATGCAAGTGAAAGCATATGCCATATTATGGGATTGTTTTCGAAGGAAATAAGGTTAATGTTTTAGCCATGTAATGTATTTAAACTTACCCCCCATCTTTCAGGGAAGAACTCTTTTGGGTTTGGATAAACTTCAGGGTCCATGTGAACACCTCTATTCCAAAGCAGAACCTTCCAACCTTTTGGTATTAAATAGCCTGGAAACATTGCATATCACCAGGTGAAATCAAGGTTAATGAAGAATGTTGAGTAAATTAGAGGGATTTAATCGCTAACCATTGATGTTAACATCAACTTTTGCCTCCCTGAAGTTGCAAAAAGAGACACTTGCCCTTCTCAGTGTCTCATCAATTACCTAAAATTCAAAATCATTGATATCTGAAACAAAAGGACATGTTCCTTGTGCAATAAACAAGCCAACAATGGCGTATCACACACGTTACCTTTTGAAGATAATTCATTTGTCTTACATCTTTTAGAGTCAAACCCTTCCCCACACTTTGTCTCTTCTTCAAGATTTCTTCTTGCTCTTCCTGAAAAATCGGTAATAAATTCATTAAAATAAGTAGCATTCAGATACAAAATCAAACCGGAGAAAAAATAAGAGTTTCGAGCATTTTATTTTTGAATAGTTTGTTGTGATTAAAGTATCTGTTCAATTTTTTTTCTTAGTCATTTACAAGGCACACACCATCCAAACACAATTACTCAAGCTCGAGACCTCTAGGGAGAATAACACTTCCTTTTACCACCGAGATCGTTTAATGAGTTTAACGTTCCATTACTTTATAGTTAAGAACAGAAAATGGAAATTAAGGCTACGATAATCCAACCTTGGCCATCTTCAGTATTTGTGGATGGTTATGAAGATAAAGGATTGCCCACATAGCCACATGAGCTGAGCTTTCATGACCAGCTAACAAGAACATGAGCAGTAAATCGATTATATCCTCATCGGGTAATTTGTGGCCATTCTCGTCTTCGATTTCCATCAGTAAATCAATCATTCCTCTCTTTACATTCGGCTCAATAACTTCACTCTCCACTCTCCTCTCATCAAGGACTTCCTGTAGGATCTTAATCAACATTTTCCTTGCCTGTTTATTCGTCAATTTCGATCAACAAATAATCATTTATTACTATGACTTCAATCATATTAATGTAGGGTACTTTCGTAAAGATAAATGTAAGTAATGATAATTAAATATGTAATTATAATAATATTTTAAACTATTTTTTGTCAGATGTTAAAGATTTAACATTTATTATAATCACTAAATTTTTTATTCTCCTTCATTATGGCCACTTTTATTTGTTGTCTTTAAAAATATTGATGTGACACATTAAAATATTTTCTTAAAAAATATTGGGATTCCAAACATGTAGTTTCATCAAGGTCAAATTTTTAATGAATGAAAAAAAATCATCGTTCAATTTCGATAGTCGGAAGGATCTGTTTAGATAAAAGATTAATATAATTCGATTTCAAGTTGATTTGATAGTTGATCATATCAAAAAAATTTAAATTTTCATTTTAATTTAGATTTACTTAGGTTTTGAAGAGTTTGAAAGATTTTTCGATAAGTTTGAACCAAAGAAAAGAAAGAGAATGAGAAAATAAATAATTTGGTGATCTTTTCGATCAGAAAAAACCATCAAATGATGATAGAAACGACGACAAAAGTAGAAGGCAATCTGATAGAAACTAAAAGCTAAAGCGTTTTTATTCGTCATTATTGACTGTTGGATTAAATTGAAATCAAACTATGTTAATCATATGTTCAAACGTAACCTTCCCACTATTAGGATTGATTAACACCACTTCGTTCAATGAAAATTTAATTTTTACAATGATTGATAATTTGAAAATTAGAGTTTTAGGAGAGGAAAACTCCAGGTCAGTATTTTCTAACTGTACCTAGTGATAAAAATGTAATGAAAGTGAATTTAAAATTTATTGACTCAATGTAGATTTTAAAATTTTGATGACCAAGATGAAAGTATCATAAAAGTTCAGTGACTAGCAATGCAGTTTACCCTATAATTTAAACTCTATTATATTAATTGTCCATTGAAAGCCGTCCTTGGCATCTTCCATTTTTGAATCTATCTATATTGGAATTCTGGACCATTTCTTTTACATTTAATTAATAATGGCTGGCAAACACTCATATGGTGTTAAGTTAATTGATGTTGCACACATACATCTAGGCATGTAGAATGTTGTTGCTTATTGTGAAGAAATATTTACCTTGAGAGCTTTGTGGAAAGCGAAGCCAGGAAAATTAATTGCGGCAGATTTCATTCCATGGTTCAAATCAGTATAAAGCTCCTCAACTGACCCCATGATTGATTCAGCACTGGACCCAACGAAGATGTGTGTAATCACCTTGAAAGTAAACTTCCTTATCTCGTTCAACAGCTCAATCGGCTCTTTCATGGTGGACCATTCCTCCAAGGAATTAACCACGATCTCCTCAATATGTCCAATATACATGGACAGTGCCTCATGGCCGTTGATCGGAGCCGTTGTTAGCCTGCGAAGACGCTTGTGTTCTGAATTCGGGATGCTGTGAAACGATTTTTTCCCGGTTAATTGCTTCGTGGAAATTGGATAGCCGAGTCTGAATTGCTCATCATCTGCAGACACTTTCCTACAGGTTTCTGGAATAGAAACTATGATGCTTGGACTTCCAAATAAGTAGGTCTTGTAAATACCCGTTCGGCCATACCTGTAGCGTTTCCAAGAGAAGAAAAAAGGGTGTCAAGTTGTGATTAAAATAAGTCCATTGTGGTTCTGAACAAAGAAAGGGAAAGAGGAAAGACCTTTGAACGAAGTTGTAGATGAAAGTGTCAGGGTCGTTTGATCTGAAAGCTTTGAGGAAAGACCACATGTTGCCGATGATAGGCCATCCCATATCGCCTGGAGGAAGAGAATGTTTCTTCTCTCCCAAGCTGCTAACATGGCGCCACTCATTTATTTTCTTCAGAAAACCAAACAGGAAAACATAGATCCCAAGCAGAAGAGCAAGAACCAAAGCCGATAAATCCAAGTATAATTTCATTATTATGGAATTAATTTCTCTTTTGATAGCTTTTGGGTTTTGTTTCTCATTCGCTCTCTATGCCTTAGCTGGACAATTGACAGCTGCTCACTCCTCTTATATAGCTGCCTGCAAGGCTGCAACCTTAGTTTGTATCGATCAATTCCCAGGCTAGCCAACTCATGTAATTAAGCGGTTGTTAATTATACTCGTCAATGTTAGTATCAGTATTAGTGTAAAATACATAAGCGGTTGAAAGGATTGTTATTGTCTATTGAGATTTTGAGTTCGAACAGTTGTGTCTAGTTGTCTACAAAGTATATGTGTTGTCAATAATTAAGAAAGATTCTGAACAGACATTATTTTATAATCACAGAGACTAATAAAAAAATTAGTCTAATTCAATTAAAGATTCAACAATAAATAAAATTAGCATAATAATATATTTAATATTCCAAGTTTTACATTTTATTATAATTTAATCCAAAATTAAAAAAATCAACCTTCAATATTTTCATTTCAATTTAATCCTTATTATATTCAAACTATTTCCTATTGCTTGAATGGACATTTCCACCTCCAAAATCAAGAATTTTCCTTTCTGATAAAAGGAAAGGTGATTTGCTTGGAGTAGTAGATGAAGAAGAATTCTTAAAATAACGCATTGTTGGGTATCCACTCGTCTCTAGTGTTCCAAGCCTTAAGATATCAATAAATAGTGACGGAGCTATGTACGATTTCAATTTCTTTTATCATTAAAAATTATAGAGACATTACAATTTTAAATTTTGGTTTATTTTTTATTGTTAATTATATTTTTTACCCTCGAATTAAAATCTTGATAATGTCTATGTGAATAAAAGTTCCATCACCATTGTTGACACCAGCTTGGAACCTTCCAAAGTGGGTGATTTTCAGCTCACACATTAAGTTATTGAGAATAACTTCACGGGTTATCAAGTTAAGAAACTCGCTACAATCAATGAATCTTAAACTATAGCTTCTTTAAATCTCTCTTCTATGGATTTTGGGTCAATGATTTTCATTGTTTCTCGCCTTTGATTATATTATTTATATTTTTATTTCATATTAAATTAATATTCCTCAGTACTATTAACCCTTTCTTTTCAAGGATTTGATTATGACTCTGGACGGCTAAAATCACAATCAAAGTTAATAAACAAGACTTTTGCCTTTGGTGATTGAAATTGATTGTGTTTCCAAAATGTAAGCCGCCTAGAAAAAAAATCAGAATACCCCAAATTTTTGATAAGATTAAATAATTGAGAGAATAACCTCAGTGACCGAAAATGCCTTATAATATACGATTTTGATCAACTATTTTTTGATTTGTCAAAATGACCAACAAAATCGTAATGCGATCTCTAAATCGCAACGCGATTTTGACTATCGCATTGCGATTTTCCAAATTCCGCAACGCAATTCTGACTATCGCAACGCGATAATACATAATCGCAACGCGATAATGATTATCGCAACGCGATAATACATAATCGCAACACGATTCTGGTTATCGCAACGCGATAATACATAATTATGACCACGATAATACAAAATCGCAATGCGATTCTGACTATCGCAACGCGATAATACAAAATCGCGATTTTCCAAATACAAATCGCAACGACTGGTGGTATTGCATTTGTTTCTTAAGAATTTTCTCTAAAAAGATAGTATCCGCGCGGACGTGTTGAAGACATGTATTACCACGACCACGACCACGAGACGGCGGCGGTGCGCGAGAGTCCCCCTTGTTCTCTTCCACTCAACAAGGAAGTGGGAAATCCAAGCCTTAAATACCCATTTCCAATAGTGTTTCCAATACTATGTGGGATTGAGCATTGCAAACACTTGGGAATCTTTTACACTATCGCAACACATTCTTTATTGTTTCAAACTCCACGTGAATTTGGAATAGTTAAAAAACAAACTTATTTTGGATTTTTCACTATCGCAACACTTTTTCACTATCGCAACACTTTTTCACTATCGCAACAACACGTTTTTCAAACTCTCGCAACACATTTTAACTATCGCAACACATTTTTCAAAATCGCGTTGCAAATCTTACAATCGCGTTGCGAATCTGGATATTCGCGTTGCGAATTTGGAAACTGAATTGAAAAATTAGAGTTCGCGTTGCGATTTTGTTGGTCATTTTGGCAAATCCAAAAAAAGTTGGTTAAAATCGTATATTATAAGACATTTTCGATCACTGAGGTTATTTTCTCTAAATAATTCAACTTGGCAAGAGGGTATACTGAATTTTAAAAACTTCAACAAATAATTAAACTTGAACAATATATATAAGACTTAATACTAAAATAAATGTTTAAATTATATTGTTTTCTCAAATCTAAATTATTTTTTAACTCATTCAGGTGTCTAACGTTACCCATTTAGGTCTCTGGGCCGTCAACGGCGTTAATTTCTCCCGTTAAGTAACATGTGTCACAATCTGACCATTGAGAAGTACTCGAAAAACAGAAATAAAAAAACAACGAGAAAGGATTTCGAAAACATACCTTTGAGAAGGATTCGACCATTGAGTGTTTATTTGGAGCCTCATACGCCATTGTTGAAGGTAAAGGAACTACCTTTGTGGGGTTTGGGTAATTAAATTGAATAGAGTCACCACCACTGACATAGTCCTTACCATCCTCCTAATCATATGTCATCGTAATTTCCGTTGATTGGCCATCAGAATCGCGTGAGATCGCGATTTTCATCCTAGGGTTCACGGGTATAAAGCGTTGATTGGTCATCTATCGATCACGGTTTCATTGGGGTTTTGGTCGCCGGGATGAGGGGAGGTCGGGTATAAAGTTTTTAAAATATATATAATTTTAAAAAGAAACCTTTTGCCGTTGATGAAGCTCCACCCGACCTCCCCTCATCCCGGCGACCAAAACCCCAATGAAGGTTTTTAAAGTTTTGGGTTTATTTCAAAATGTGTGATTTCTTTTTAAAATATATATAATTTTAATTATTTGATTTTTTAAAATTATCATGTTGTGACACTTGTAAATTAAAAGATAAATTAACACCATTGACGGTCCGGACACCTAAATGAGTAATGTTTGTAACGTTAGACACTTAGATGAGTCAAATGGTTTAGGCACCTATTTGGTAAAAGAGGTATAGTTTAAGCACTTTTTTGGTATTAAGCCTATATATAATAACATTATAAAGAAGCTAGTCGATATAAAACAACGGGACCTTATTTTGCACATTGATTTTATTTCAAATATAATGTTTTATTGTCATATTCTATATTTATTTTTGCTGCAGAAAGAAGTACACCATGATCTGATCAAACCATTGTAAAAGATAAAACAAAAGGAACAAAATCACAGACGGCAATTATAATTTGAATTGTAGAAAGCGTAAATACTGGGGTTGGGATTAGCATATTTCAGAAGTTGTTCATTTTGTTCAAACAGGGCCATTTCTTCTTCATCCAAAGTAACTAAAGCTTCAATTCCATCACCGGAATTTGTGTCCGCCAAAGCAATCGTGTTGTTCACCAATCTGTTTACGCTGACAACCCACATCGGCTTTCCCCACCCGAAATCAATGTCATACAGAGGCAGCTTGCACCAACTTGAACACTTGTAAACCTCCATTTCCTTGTTGCTTCTAATGAACTCTCTTCTCTCTTTTATGGCCTCCATGATTGCCAGTGGAGCATCTTCTCCTCTGAACATATTTGCCTTAGTGTTGTTGAATTCGTTCAAACGTTTTCTCAGCTGAATCACTACCTCATGTAGCTCTAAATCTTTCTCTTCATATGCAGACACCATAATTGGCCATATGAAGTTCCCAATCACAGTTTCCGGTAACGGAGGAGACAACCTTTTACGCAAATTAACAGCTTGGAACAATGTCGTCGGCCTGAATGACCCTATTTTTTGTATCTTGGTAGCCACGGCACATTTCCATAACAGTGCCAAAACAACCTCCACGCGAGAGAATCGGCTTTGCAGAACTTCATGACTAACTCTAGCCTTCAGTTCTGCAATCTTTGATGCACTAAACACAAATCTCCTCTGCACAAACTTTTCAGAGGCAATGTTAACAGTTGCAGACATGCCATGGAATTCGTCTCTGGGTGCCAAAAAATTTTCTCCGATAAGCAGGGGGGTAATCGGGTTACTCGAGCCACGGCAAACCGATGACCACGTTTGAACAAGAGTGTGTAGAGCAGATACATCGGCGAGTTTGTGAGTGAGGGAGAAACAGATCGCCACGCCACCGCAGGTGAAGCTAGTAAACCGAACAAGGAACATGGCACCATTGGATAAGTCCATGGTCATGGGATCAGTGGTAGGTAAGAAATGATCCATGAGATTCAAGTCGGGTTGACTGAGGAAGTGGGATAGTTGGATGTTGACTCTAGCTTCCACAAAGAAAGCACCTTCGTCGTTACAATCGACGGTGGCAGCATCACGGAGACGTCCGGCCAGCGGGTAAAAGAGGGAGAGTGTTTTGGAGATTGAGTCTTGGAGGAGCATGGATTTGTGAAAGAAATCACGGTTAGAGATGGAATGGGAGGTGTTATTTGAAGGGAAGAAGAAGTTCATGTTGCTATGGATGTCAGGAGAGATTTGGTCGAGAAGAGAGAGCTTGAAGGTTTTCAAGTGGGGAGGAGTTGGGTGTGAGGGTTTGATGGTCTGCCTAGAAACTATTTCGGACTTGATTTCGACCATCTTTTCTTGCTCTTCTATGTTTCTTTACGTTGGTTTAGGTGTCACTTGCCGCCTCCTGGTCTGCCTACTTATATAGACGTGGGAAACTTTTGTGATTTTTCTTAAGCATCATTTACATTGTCCCTGCCAAAGAATTTTTATGTTAACATGTATATATTTTGGATTGGTTAATAGATATATGTGATGCATTATATTTAATATTCATCAAGTGACTTAAATAGTAGAAGGAAACAATATTGTTCTCCTTAAAGTTTTGGATTCGAATAGTTTCGTTTATATATTATCAATGATTAAAAAATTATAAATAAATACTATCATATAATATTCCAAAATTATTGAAAAAATAAACTCAAATCTTTGACTCTATCAATAAACCTGCCTTTGTCGAGGAAAGGAAAATGAAGTTCATGACACATTCAGTCGGCTAGATTTTGTAATTTTAGCCTTCGTTTTCTACTTAAAAATGAATCAAAGTAGCGGCAATCAATTTGAAAATGGCGTAAAGATTTGACAAGCACACAGATGGCATATCTTTAAGAAAGATAGACATTATGTCTATTTTGGTGTTACTATTAATTGAATTTAAAATAGAAAGTTAAAAAAATTTCTCCATTAAAAACAACACAAAAAGAGAAACATGAAATATATTATTACATACCCTTAATTGAAGAAAGTTTTTTTTTTAACTTTGATCTTTTAAACACTGGAACTTGAAGCTTAATTAATGCCAAGAACAAGAACAACAAGGCCTTCAGTTTAACTGGTTTGTCCCTTCCTCGTAATAAACTAAAAAAAATACTTTTGTTTCCTTGATCTAAGTAATTATGTTCTCTGTTTCTTCGTTAGAGTTTTCTCTTAGAAAAGCTAAATTAGCACAGAATAAGACTATGTACACTAGAAAGTATATATACATATACCTCTATATGAGCAATGCAAAAAACGGGTCTTATGAAATAATTTATGTTGTGGAAGTGGAAAGTGAGGATTCAAAGAAAGGGGAAAAGTCAATTTTTTAAGAAGTTGTATGTTTGCATGTTATAATAAATTATTTTTTTAACAATGAAACAATAAAAAAAAGATAAAATAACCTCAGTGACCGAAACTGCCTTATAATATACGATTTTAATCAAAAAAAATTTGGATTTACCAAAATGACCAACAAAATCGCAATGCGATTCTGACTATCGCAACGCAATTCTAACTATCGCAACAAAATAACCTCGGGTCGTGGTCGTGGTCGTGGTAATACGTGTCTTCGACACGTCCGCGCGAATACTATCTTTTTAGAGAAAATTCTTAAGAAACAAATACAATACCACCAGTCGTTGCGATTTTGAAAAATCGCAACGCGAATTTGGATTATCGCAACGAATTTGAAAAATCGCAACGCGAACTTCGATTATGTATTATCGCGTTGCGATAGTCAGAATCGCTTTGCGATTTTGTATTATCGCATTGCGATTTAGAGATCGCATTGCGATTTTGTTGGTCATTTTGACAAATTCAAAAAAAAATTAGTTAAAATCGTATATTATAAAGTACTTTCGGTCACTGAGGTTATTTTCTCTAAAAAAAATGAGCGACATATGAAGTTGGCCACCTATGACGATTGATCACATAAACCAACGAGTGAATGCGATGTCAAACGGTGTTTGATGCTAACCTATCGATGAAGAGTTTAGAAAAAAAAGTTCGAGCAATAGATTTGAAAACCCTAAAAATATTGAAAGAAGAAAAGTAACTAACATAAAAAGATGATGATCAACTACGACTGACGAATGACGACAGTGACAACCAACTATTGAAGGGATTACGTCTACCGATGAGAGTTTAAAACTAAAAATTTATAGCGATAGAGTTTAAAAGTGGTTATATATATATATATATGAGTGATCTTACTGATTAAAAAGAATTTTTTAAAGATATTAAATTCAAATAGTTATATTTTATAAGATGTATGTGTATTATAAATTGATTAAAAATATTATGAATAAATATTACCTTATAATCATTCTTAAATTATTAAAAAAAATAGTGATATATTAATGTTAGATCACAAAGAAATAGAAAAATTGGAAAAACAATAATAATTTATTTCGACTTATTAATAATTTGAATTAAGTTCGAGTTTGAATTAAATTCATTCGAATTGAATATTAACTAAACTTTAAACAAATTAAATTAAAGTAACTCACAATCTGTTTCGTCTTATTTACAATCTTAAATGTGAATGTTTATGTTTTTTATTTACTTACCAAATAATATACCGAAGATAAATGGTAAAAATATTAAACTTTTTCTTAAACTAAATATAATAAAATTTAGGATAAATTACACGTTTATTCACTAAATTTTATTTTTTTATATTTCATTTATCGTATTTTTAATTTTTTAATTAATTCATTGAATTTTAAAAATTAATTTTTTATCACTTAACCGTTAATTGTTTAACACGACATAATTACAGAAAACATGTGCTAGATCCTCTTGCCCAAAAAAACATAAACAAACTAAAAAGGAAAAGAATTGAAAAGGATTTTAAGGGCTGTTTGTTTACCTCTTAAAGAAATTATTTAGCGCTGAATGTTGAACGGTTCAATATTTAGCGAGTTTATTTCGCACTTCTGAATGATTCAGTGCTGACTGATTCAGTAAAACAGCGCTGAATAATTCAGCACAGAAGTACATTCTGAATCATTCAGAGCCAGTTATCAAACAACATGTCACAGAGTAAAATCATTCAGAGCCTCTGAATAATTTAGTATTTATATCATTCAACGTTTAATCATTCTGAAATAAACAAACACCTGGACTAATATAAAAAAAAAGTTTCTTCTTCTTCGAAGAGGCCATCAACGATAGACGGGTAGTTCTGCGGTGCGGCACCTAAAAAATGGCTAATATACGGCGTGACCGGTTAAACAAGTGACCGGTTAAAATTTAGACCGGTTATGTTATATTATTTAACCGGAAATATTATAAAGTACAATAACATACTAGGTAGCGCTTATATAATGTAATAGGTAGCGCTTATATTTACCTATTTTATAAGTAAACCGGTATATTTATACCGATAGCATTGCAAATTTACCTATTACATTATATTATATTGAAAGTGTCCATACTTTTTATAAAAAGGATCGATATTTCTTTTAAAGTTATGTAATTTATGTTTCAATTTTTTTTAATAGTGTTTCATGTTTTCCACCTACAATATTAATTTAATAATTTCATTTGCACAAAAAATTATTTGATTGTTTTGATATTTTATAAAATATTATTTAGGATTTTTAATTTAATAATAATATATATCGTAACGTAAAAAATAAATCATTAGACGCCTATAATTACTAAATTAATATCTTAAAACTCACTCAAAAGATAACCTTAAATTAATGTTTTCCACAGTGAAAAAAGTATGGACACTTTTATAAAAAGGATAGACACTTTACAATATAACCACTACCTATTACATTATATAAACGATACCTATTACATTATAAAAGGGCTACCTATTACATCATATGTTTACCTATTATATTGAAAGTGTCCATACTTTTTATAAAAAGAATCGATACTTTTTTTAAAAGTTATGTAATTTATGTTTCAATTTTTTTAACAGTGTTTCATGTTTTCCACCTACAATATTAATTTAATAATTTCATTTACACAAAAAATTATTTGATTGTTTTGATATTTTATAAAATATTATTTAGAATTTTTAATTTAATAATAATATATATCGTAACGTAAAAAATAAATCATTAGACGCATATAATTACTAAATTAATATCTTAAAACTCACTCAAAGGATAACCTTAAGAACACTTGAAGAAGCAAGAGAACAACTATCCAAGCAATCAAAAACGAGAAAATCCCAACATGATAACAACTGAACATATCATATCAATGTTCAAACTCAAGTTGTAGATTTTGATTTCCTTTTGCTTGGCATCATATGAGATTTGGATTTTGATTTCCTTTTGCTTGGCACCATATGAGCTTTGGATTTTGATGAGCATCGGAAGTATTTCAGACTTATGATTTGGGTGGTACTCAACTTATGATTTTAGTTGCTATTTGTTACATTTCTTGTATACCACCCAGATCATACGCCCGAAACGTTTCTGACGCTTTAAAGTTGACCAAAAAATAAAATGGTCGGGATTTCCCTCGCGTTTATACGTTGGAAAAAAAAACAATGGAAATTAGGAATAATCAATGATAACATGCATATTGGCTTGGGCTAATATTTATAGTGGAGCCGAAATATATATTGAAATTCAAACTCAAATTGAAATTTAAATTCAAACTTCAATTACATATGAAATGAATTTGAAATGCAGTGTTAAATTGAACATGAAAATTGCATAATTGATTCATACTGTTCAAGTAACATGCTTTATGAACCATCAAGCTAAAAGACAATATTGATTGAGTTCAAAGCTGAGTTGTGAGTTGATGGAGTTGTCACACTTGTCACATGGTTGGAATAAAGTACTCACATGCGAGATATATTGTTTTGTTATACATAACCCATCTCAACTGAATGAAAATATACATACAATATAATCAAACCAAAACATACTTACACAACAAATTTATATATAACAATGTTCAAATAATGTACCCACAAAAACGAAATTAATCCAATGAAAAAGAGTTATTTCTAACAAAGTCCGGAACATTATTTTTCCAAATAATGTACCCATAACAATGTTCAATTAATGTACCCACAACAATGTTTAATTGATTTGTTGTTTAATTTTCAATTTGAATTATTTGATTTAATAATTTCATTTGCACAAAAAATTATTTGATTGTTTTGATATTTTATAAAATAATATTTAGGATTTTTAATTTAATAATAATATATATCGTAACGTAAAAAATAAATCATTAGACGCCTATAATTACTAAATTAATATCTTAAAACTCACTCAAAAGAAGTGCCGAAGAACAAGGTCGAGAAGAAAATTAGGCGATGTGGGTACTGCAACGGTGAGGGGCATAACAAACTAACAT